TAAATAGGTATTGTTTTAAACCTGTAGTCTACAGGCTGACCTCAGAGGAGGATGCATTGTTTTAGATTCCTATAAAATAAATACATTATTAGCTTTTCTCAATGATGGAGAAAATAAAAAAAAAAAAAAAAAGGCCATTTCTACCAGACAGAATGCATTTTTATTTTGTGTTCTCAGTACAAGTCTACGGTTATACTCACTGAAGTATTAACACTGTGTTTATTTACTTTTATTGAACATTTAACTTAACTTGTTTTCTTTAGCATGGGGCTGATTTCTCTACTTGAACTGCTTCCTTCTCTTAAAATCTTAGGGCAAGGGAGATGAAATCTTCCCTGGAACTTGACTTGTTTCAAATATAATTAAGATGGCAAGCCAAATCAATATAAAATTAATTATTTTGTGGAATAATGCAAATCTTTTAGTTTAAAAGAACCATCTTTTGAAAAAAAAAATGAAAAAAAAGGGAAAACTGATCAAGTACTTCAACTACTTCTTTCTTTTTTCAAAGAAATGAGCTCTTGTGACACAAGCAATTGAAGCTATGTCAGCCATTTCACCTATCCTTAGGAGGAGCCTAGAAGGTGCCTTCCCCACCCTCTGTCCCAAGTGCTGCAGAAGCTTGCTTTTTAATCATTGGTAACTACATGGTTAGTGGTCTAGGGATTTCTCTTTCAGGTTTCACCCAATGTATTCTTTTTTTTTGCTTGGAAGGAACTTGAGGGAAAGGAATCCCAGAAAGAGATGATGCTCCATAAGAATAAAAATAAGTATTGCCATGTGTAGGGTTTTTTTCCCCTCTCAAGAGTGAAAATGGGTAGAGATTAAAATTAGATTCCAAATATACTGCCTTCGGTGAAGGGAGATTTTTATGAGCTTTAGTTACTGGTGTTCAAGAATGAGCCTTATAAGTCAGCAACTGATTCGCTACTGAGAAACTCAAAGACTAAGAGTGGAGACACAGGAAAGGTGGTGGTTTAATTGAACTAGCAGCTAGAAGGAAAAAAAAAGAAAAACCAAGAACTTGGAGACAGGTTCAGGATTTCCACGCGCAAATCCTGCAGTGTTTAACATAGTACAACATACTAAATAGTACAACTCCATGCATATACCTTTCCAAACTTCAGATCAGTTAAGGTAGTCTTCAATTTATTACCTAACTTTCTTAGTACTACCTGTACATTAGCTATTTAATAGTCTTTAACTTTCATATTTTGCTTTGCATAGCACTGCTTGAGGAGCCATCTATACTACAGGACTCTGCTCTAGATGCACAAACTAGTGAAATCGTATCTCTTCAGTTAAAGGAAGGGTTAAGAAATGGCCTCTGACTAATTCGATTTGGTTTGGTGGTTGGTTTGGGTTGTTGCTGGTTTTGGGTGGGGGGTATGGTGGCTTCCTGTTTCACATATGTGTACAAGAAGCTTGGGTTTTATCATATCTTGGTTATTAGCAATGTCTCTGGGAGAGAAAATTAGGTTGAAGCATATATTCACCTATAAAACAGCAGTGGTGACTCCAAGAGATTGCACTGTGAAAAGACGCAGGCAACAAATCGATATTGACAAAAGCAATTTACCAGTCTTCCAGCTTGGAAGAGTGCAGTTCAGATTACAAGACCACATAAATGGGACATATCTTTCACAGAGGATGTTTGGAAGAGGTTAGCAGGGAATTTATGTCCCAACTTAACTGGGGAAAACTAACTTTCTAAATCACTTTCTAAATTATTTCAATACCAGTGATTTCCAAAACAAGGGACTATGCAATGCTGTCTGCTGGCTTTTGTGAAAAATCAAGTGGAAAATGTGGTTTGCTTGGTGGTGGTCCAGCAGCAAGAGATTCACAGTCACTACCACAGCTCCTGGCGGAACAGAGAATGTAACAGGAAGGCCAGCTCTAGTTGGAGACCCTTCAGCATTTTGAGAAATAAGTCATGGCATCTGGGTTGCTTGTTGTAGAGCTGTCCCAACAGTAGCAAAGGTAAAACTGGAGCCCAGGAGCTCTTTCCTATGTTTCAAACAGGAGATACTTGAGATGACCAGATTCTGTATGGATATTTTCATATATGCAATATTACTGTTCATTAGGTGTTTGCAAGACTTGTCTGACTTGTTGCATATGCACAGAGTTGAATTTTGAAGATCCAGAACAGTTTTTCTAGGTTTCCTTTGTAAGGGTTCTGATCTGTATCTTGTAGTTTTGGCCCACACCTCTGGGCCCATATCTATGAGAAAGAAGAGATGGAGAGAAATTTTTTATGTAATTTTCCATCAAATTACATGCCCTTTCTGTTGGGAAGCTATTTTGCTTTCTTGCTTATTATTGCACACGCAAAAAGCTTGGATGCTAGCACTACTGCTGCTTTATTTGCTTTAGATTGTCTTGCATTTAGCCCATTTGAAGATTTTAGCGTGAACAATAGAAATAGTTGCGATAAATTGTCAGGCTCTTCCAAAGATTCAGAAGTTCTGGAGTTACTGCCAATGACAGATGGTTTGTCCTTGCTCATCATTTGTCTTCCTGACAGCATTTTTTTGCTCTCTGCAAAATCTCCCTTAGTGTAGGTGAATTCTTTCAAAAAAGAAAATTATTTTCTGCTTCATCCATGTTCTTGCTCATCGGTTCAATAGCATCCATGTTTGACTAAGTGGAATACCTTCCTCATGAAGCAGCAGTTTGATTTATTTTAATAGGGTGTTAGGAGAGCTGCTGGAGTTTGACATGAACACATTTCTGAAGTTACAAAGATGTTATAAATAATATTTTATATCTATTGCTGTGGATTTCTATGGCTGTGTATGTATGGCACTGCATACTTGACAGGCTGTATCCTTTGTTGCAGGATTTCTGTAACTAATGACACAATGTTTTCAAATAATCTGGTGTGAACTCCCAGTCTGAGCAGTGGTTGAGTGGGTAGAGAGTGAATTTCCTTTTCATTTTTTCCACAATTTCATTAAGTCTGTTTCAGAACTGGCCTGCTAACTTGCTGCTTTGATTCTTAGTACTGGAGAATTATGTGATATGGCATTAAAAATCACTGAATCCTAACAGCCTATAGATGAAAAAATGCTGAATTCAGAAAAAAATTCTCTGAAGTTGTTGGCTGTATTGGCTGTCCTCTAATTGTTCTCTGACACCAGTTTAGATGGGTGAGACAGGAATGTGTGAGTTGCTATGGGCATTAGACTGCAAGGATGCAGCTCCCCTGTTCATACTGGAATTCATCTGCTTATGTATGTTCCTGCACAGTGGAGGTGCTCAATGGCACAGCAGAAATGCCATCTCAATGGCACAAAATACTATTTTTAGTATTGTATCAAATATTTACCCTTTCAATAAATAAAACCAGTCTGAACTGCACAGCAGTTGACACAGAATTAATAAGTTTCTGCTTCTTTTAGCTACTGCTACTACGATTCATCATGGTTAAGAAAGCAAAATAGATTTTGAAGCACGAAAGCAGCCGTCTTGGATTAGATCAAAGACTGTTCCAGTATCTTATCTCCAAAGGTGTTCGTAAGCAAATGCCTGAAGGAGCAGTAAGAACAGGGTAGGCATATATGACACTGTCTCTTAATACTCTCCTAGCTAGCAGCTATGTTTAGCTTTTGAGAGCTTTCTGCATTGAGTATAGCTTTGTGTGTTTAGTAACCCACAGCTGAATTCTTGTATGATTTCCCCTAGAGGAAGTGTGAAAAGAGAATTTGTCAAATATGTGTATGGTTTTCTTTGTTTTGGAAAGTGTTGACTCTCCTCCATTTAATATCTGTGTAGGATTTCAGTGTTCAGCCCTTGTTATGAATACACACTCCAGTTTTTCTCAGTTTTAGCTTAAGAGGTGGGCTGCGTAAACAGTATGTTCACCTGCCTTCTGTCTTGTATGGAAATTTCCAATCTGTCCCTTGCCTTTCAGTAGTGCACAGCGCTGCTTCCTGTCACAGAGCCAGCAGAACAGGCAGATGAATCTGAAACTTGCATTGTATTCCAATGCTTGGGGTCTTGAAGGCCCTACCTCCCGCACAACCCCATAAAATTATTTTATTGTTTCTAATATACAGGATATCAAATTTCTTTTGCGCTACTGCCCTTATACATTTGCAAGAATTATTTTGTACATTTGTTATTCCCTGGCACAGAACACAAGTTCATGCCAGCTCACTTGATATGCATGCAGATGTGAATTTCAACCAGAAAAAGATCATCACTCGGATAACAAATAAGTGATTTAACTTTCTGAACATATTAGTCATAGGAATCTTCTACACAACTGCATTATATACTTCTATTGAAACTGTTATATGCGCTTTTAGGTTATCAATTTTAAGCAGAACCAGCCATGCTCTTTTGGTTTTTTTTTCACTTTAATCTTATTTATTGTAATCCCTTCCAAGTGAACATGCAGTGGCTTTTTTAAGTAAACAAAACAGCAAACTCAGTAGATAGACAAGGGCATTGTGGAACATTGTGTCATGACTGTAAAGGCTTGCTGTGTCCAAGTAATGACTGTTTTACTGATGGATAATTGGATCTAGGTTGTGTTGTTGCTGGCTTTAGATTTATTTATTTATTTATTTGCGATTGATTTAATACAATCTTTTGTAAACCTGTGCTTAATAACTGCTGATCAAGAGAATCTTCTAACTGTGAGATTATGCATATGTTAATGTTTGAAGAAAACTTTAGGGTTGAACAAACTTTTCCTTCAAGCATTAAAACTGAAGGTTTACATAATATTGTATTTCTTTTCTGTAAAACAGTGGATGTGCCTGTGCATTCTTCTACACTGAAAAATGTAAAGCACAATAATTGGAAAATGTCAGAAGGTTATTAATTATGATGATAATAATAGTATAATGCCCTGCAATTCATACAGACATAGTTAGAATGGGCACTCCTCAACTTTAAAGTCAATTAAATGGACAATATAGGCCGTACGGGGAGAAGAGGTGTTCAGAGGT